GAAAGAGTGAACTACTAACAAGATAGTCAGGGATTTAGTGTCAGTTTATTCCACACGTCATCTCCCTCATGTTCATGGATGAGCATGCTGTTGCCATCAGAAAAATTAGTGATGAAGATATCAAATGATGCATATTCACACTTTGGACAAACTTCTCTGCCCTAGTAATTTATGTCTGTTATTAACATTTCAAGTAATTAAGATGATACAACAATGTGAATAACATAGTATGTGCTGCACTTTCTCTGAGAAGTGCACCTTCTATAGTTAAAAACCTAATGCCAATATTTTCAGATAGAGTATTTCTCATGGAGCATGAGGGGGGCTCTGGACCAGCATTTAGACATCCATGATGCTTAGTTTCATCGTTGTAATAATTTAGTAGGACGGTATAATTCTCCCAGTTACTGAGATCCCAGGTCCTGATGTCACCCTGCAGCTGCTGTTCCACTTCTGTGAGGAACTGAATCAGTCTCTTCTTAAATGTTTCTTTCATCTATATTCCCTCAGTGTTTCCAGAGTTTAAATTCTTAAACCCCACAAACTTACCATTATTATATGAAAACGCAATAAAATTGTAAATAAAAAAGTTCTAGAGTATCACCATTGTAATATCATTATGATAAACAGTCTTTTGAATTGGGAAAAAATGCAGCAGATAATGTTTAGTTCATAAGATAACAATGTGACCCCTCCTCCCTTCTGAACAACCACAGCATCCACCAGAGGAGATTTCCTCCTGCCTAGGAGGACAGTTTTACTCAAAACATCCACAAAGAGGATTAAAAAGACCACAGAGATATGAAAGAACCACAAAGAGATGCAAAATTACCAGTAACACACTTAAAACAACTACAAAGAAAGAAAGAAAGAGACCCAAAATTACCACAGATGCAAAACAACCACAAAACACACAAATGGAGTACAAAAAGATGCAAAAGAACTACAAAGAGGATCAAAGTATAAAGAGATACACAACCACATTGAGATGTAAAACAACTACAAAAAGACACAGAAAGGAACAGAAAGAGACATAATACAACTACAAAGAAACAAAATGACAACAAAGAGGCTCATAACAACTAAAAAGAGACACAAAATCCACAAAGAGATGCAAAACAACTACGAGAAGACACAAAACGTAGTCCTTGCAAAACCACCAAATGAGAAAAAAACCTAGATAATCAAGGGAAATGATTACAAAAACATGCTAAAGCAACATAAAAAAAGAACAACACCACAAACAGAGAGGAAATGACTGCAAAGAAATGGAAATTGATCAAAGAGAGACAAAACAACTGCAAAGAAACACAAAAGCACTACACAGAGATGCAAAGGGCCACATAGAAAGAAATTACGACAAGTGAGATGAAAAACAAAAACAAGAAAGAAAGAAAGAAAGAAAAAAGCCACAAAGACACAACTGTATGGTATGTTTTTATAGAGTGCAGGGGGAGTGGTACGGACTGCAAATTTGTAAGTCTGCTCTAAACGCTTAATAAATTCACAATGCATACCTGCAGAACTGTAAATTTGCAAATGTGTTGACTACAAACACATAAATCTGCTTCTGCTTTTCAGGCAGTGCACACAATATCAGTATGATGAACATGTTGTCTCTGTCTTCATCTATACACTGTAATTGTAGTCAGTTTTTGCGGCTGCAGTGGTCAAAGTGGTAGTTTTGTCTTATTGTCCTCTCACTTCAGAAGAACATCAAAGCAAAAAAGAATTTACAGTTTTTAATTAGCTGTTGATTTTTTAAAATCCCCTTTAACTATTAAAGAGTCTGCTGCAGTTGATGCTGACCACAGATATAACCAGTATCCCTCAATCTGAACTGTATTCTTGATATTGTCCCAGACCAGTTCCAGTGACAGAGCCCAGAGAAGCCAGTCGAGGGCTTGTTAGCGTAATGAGTCCCCAACAAGCACCCATGACCTTCAAACACCCTGGGGAGGACATGGCGAGACAAGGATGCCTTTACACCTTACACACACACACCCACACACGCAAGTTTTATTGATAACCTAGTTGTTATAGCATGGTCTTTAAAAATGCAGTTCAGCACTTTATTCTATACTGTTGAAGATGTAAATAGGCAATTACACTCTTCTCAGAGGACGAGAGCACTCAGTGCAATAATGCAATCATGGAATATTTACTTTTTTGGCTCACTCACAGAGAAAATCATATACACGTGCACACACTTCCACTCCCAGCAGGCTGAATCAGCAGCGCAGTGGTGATTGCTATGGACACAAGCTCAAGGTAATGAGGATTCTTGGTGTGTGTGTGTGTGTGACAGCACTGCATGGCATTGATGGGTCATACAACTGTGGTGATATTTATTTGCTAGAGCCAGAGATCCTGCTGCTAATGCCCACGGATGCCGAAATAAAAAAGGATGAAAGGTTGCCTGTGCTGAGTGTGAATACAAGCAGATTCAATACTTTCAGTCATCTGTCCTTTCCTTAAGGGACACTGCGCTTGGAGTCAGTGCCTTGCTTTGCTATTGATTCATCTGCGTTGTTTGCAGAAGTAAAGGAGCCACATTTCTCCAGTGGTAACTCATTTGTCAGAGGCAATAACAGTAGCATATCATAAAACCTTCAGCTAGGCTGTACGTTTATCAGCTGCTCCCATCTTTATTTTTGAGTAAAACTTTAAGTGACCACAGTCAATCAAATTCCTCAGAGCTGGAGAAAAACAGCAGACAACCAAAGTGGGCCTCCTGAACACCGCCACTGATTGACAAATGAAAGTTGAACCAGGCAAACAGCTGAAGTTCCTAGCCCAAATTACACCACACTTCTCTGCCCAGACATGATCAACATCACAGAGTCCAGCAAACAACTTTTCCTGCTGGAGCTGAAAAGAGTGCATAGAGGAGGCCAGTGAGAGGAAGCATGCTAAGTACCAGGAGCTGGTGGAAGAGTGTTGCAGGAAAGACTGGTGAACTCATTGTGATCCTGTGGAAGTGGATTGCTGGGGCTTCGCAGGGATTTCGTTATGCAAAGCCTTCTCAATGCTCGGCATCACCAGGGAAGCAAAGAAGAGGTCTGTCAGATCTGCTACAGAAGCTACAGAAAAAGTCATGCATTGACCTCACACACCTACTGTAAGAACTGTAAACACTCTGCAAACCCGTGCACAATTTCCTGTTATTTTTATCTATTATATTTATCTTGTCTATATTGATGATACTTTGTCTGTTAGTTTCTATTCTTAACATTAAGTGTTTTGTTTCTAACCTTTTGCTGCTGTGAATTCCCTGTTGTGGTACTAATAAGGATTAATCTTATCTTATCTTATTGCTAGGCTGCTTATGTGATGAAAGAAATCATAGTACCATCTTTTTCAACAAGGTGTCCCTTACAAAAGGTTTTAACTAATGGCTTTCTTAATGGTTAATAAATCACTGACTTCATTTTCTGCTGTCATTTTCCAAAAGCTAAGTGATAGGCTGCTGAAGGAGCCTTCCGGATGAACTTAAGCACTCACTAATAAGACAAAGCCAGTCATTAGAGTATTAACTCTAATACATCCACACACATCATAAGGCTGTTGGTGCTTCACACTAAATGCCCTCTAAATGTCTTGCAGACTTCAAGTGACTTAAATGCTTTTCTTGTGAAGGAGAGATGCAAGTGTACGACTTAGCCTGGAGCACTAATTCATTGCTCAATCACATCAGTTTGAAAACACTGAACTTTACAGCTCTGGAAAAAGTAGAGAATGGAGTACGATAAGCAAACTTTATGAACCTCAGGTTTTCAAATATATCAGCCCTTTTTCAGTGTGCTTATTGTTGGAGGTCACTTATAACACAGTAAAACTGCAACATGTCAGGCAGCCCTGATTCAAAACACTGTGAATGTATTTCAAGAAAGCTCATTTTCTCATTGATTTCCTTGTAGTCTGGGTTTTTAAGGAGAACATGTTGTTTGGTAAAGATCCTGCTTCCATTTCATTTTCTATGAGAAGCAGTCTTTGGAAAGGTGCATGATAGGATTATGTGTGAGACACAAGCAGGGCAAATGTAAATATCTGTGAGTATTGACTGATTAAGGGGTAGAAAATGGGACTGTTTAAACCAATCACAGCTAAGATCTGGGCAATGTTTTTAGAGTCAGCATGTAGGGGCCTGTAGAGGTATGGCATGTTAACGGCATTTGCATTAAACTATGGTGGTTGCCTTTGTACAATTTATCTACAGCTAACTGTGTCAAACGAAGAGCCAGAAGAGGTTTTAGTAGCA